TCAACTCTTGTAAATTGAAGGTGAAATTCATTTCCCGGATTATTTCATGAACTTACAAGTGTTGACATGTTTCACCAGAGCGAGACTTGTATACCGGACTGATGAACGTGTAAACCGGTGAAGCAGCGAAAGTACAAAATGCCACTCCCCCGTGGCCGAACTGCGCCGAAATTGTGTCCTAATAATAGACCTTATTTGCTTCAGATGTACCTGACCCACCAGCGGAAATTTCTGTCAGCGAAATCAGAAGCGATTCTGTTTCGATCACCTGGCAGAAACCTCTGGATGATGGAGGCGAACCCATAACGGGATACGTGATTATGAAGAAAGAACGTGGACGACGGACGGTCCAGAAAGTTGCTGAGGTATGAAGTGAAACTGAACTAAATATATGTTTAGGGGATCGGACGGAGTACAGTACCCCAAACCGCGATTAGTACCTGCGAGTGCACACAACACTACTTGGTTTTCGCTTAATTAACCTCTGGCCTGGTGGAAGCAAAGTATCGCTCTCTCTTCCTGTCCTCTCCCTGCAGTTTCTAATTGTGTGCACTCTCAGAACCGAAACATTTAACTTCACGCGCAAAGTTCAGCGGTACGGTATCCCGCCAGCTTTCCTAAACTTATGATTTTGTTGAAGTGAAGGGATCTGCTTTCATCAGTACAAGTACCATTTCAGGTTCCTAATCTCCAAACATCCTTCATTGTAGAAGACCTAAAGACCGCGACCGGCTACGAATTCAGTGTGGCAGCTGTCAACAAATATGGAATCGGTGAAGCGGTTGAAGTTCTCGCTGTGCGTCAGTTCTATGTTGACCATCTCTTTCTAGAAAGACCTATTGAGCGCTGTTCGGCTTAGGAGAGAAATTGTGCACTTTCGCTAGTTTCCTTTGCCAGTTGAACTACAGTCGTGGCTTGAGGGACGTGTTGATTTTCCATCATTTGTAAACGAAGCTAGCTTTACAGGGATTCACAGGTCTTCATATGAGTCGGAAGCGATCGTCGGGAGCAAGAAGATGCCCCACCAAGCCGAACAGCGCCGTTTTTTGCCTCATACAGAAGTTCTCAGAGCCGTTTTGCAGGTTACCGCAGGAGCCTTTAAAGCTCCACAAATCACCGAAAAACCCGTCGTTTCCGATGTGAGTAGCGATGGTTGCGTGCTGAAATGGAATCAGCCTAAGGACGATGGAGGGTCCCCAATTTACGGTTACGAGCTCTACCTTAGAAAAGACGCAGAAGAGTGGGAAAAGGTCAGTGCCCATCAAAGACACCATTATCGCGTAATGTCAGTTACCTCTTGGAAGATGATGATCCTGTGAAATACGATTTTCTTCTAGATCAACAGCGAACTTGTCTTTGCCAATCGCTTTTCCGTGGGAGATCTTCTCCAGGGTGTTACCTATGAGTTCAAGGTGGAGGCTGTCAATGAGGCTGGAATAGCGTCGAGCTCCAACATACCGTCAGAACCACTGTTCATCACACCAATCTCAGGTACGACCTTTTTTTTCTTAGGTCGGTCAAAACCTCGAAAATTCACTATTTACACTTCATGGGCACACTTCACAAAAGACCCTCAGAAAGTTCATAGGTTGAAAATAGATAGAAGCATAGATAGAAGCATGTGCCCGTTGACGAAGACGGTGAATACTATCGTAATTGGCCGCACCGGCGTCGCGCGGCGATGGGCGGCCAATTACGATAGTATTCACCGTCTTATTTGCGCTACCGATTGGACGGACTTATTATAGACTAGGACAGAGTAAATATCCATGACTATTATGGTTATACACTGTATATTGTCTCCATCTGCACCCTAGAAACATTGTCATTTGCGAATGCAAGTCGCACGCGACGCCCATCAGCGCGGCGAGTTACGATTGTCTTGCCCCATCCCCATGTTGACTCACCCCTGAAGAAAAAACAGAGGGAACCGCTGTAAGTGCCTAAATAAAGCGCTCGTTGCTCATCAGTCTCCATATCAGGGGTAAACATTCATTGGGATTTCGGGCGTTAGACCAAATAGGGGCAGCCGGCACACAAAGGAGCAAGACGACAGACACGAACGCAGACTTGATGCAGTCAGACGAGCGTTCTTGTGTCTTAGTACCCCTATCTTACAACTTCCAGCCGAGAACTGGTACAGTCTCCGTTTCTGTTCACACTGCCTTTCCCCACATAGAGCTTTCTAGGATCGTAGAAGGTGCCTTAGAATTGGACAATCCCTTTTGGATACCCCTGTTCTTGACAGATACAACTGATATGGTCGCAGTCAGTCGGGTCGTTGTCAAGCGGGGTGGAGTGCGTTTGCCACTGGCTGCAAGCCCTACCAATAGTTACCGATTAGTAACTGATTCAGGAGGAAAACATTCAGTGGTTGAAAATGCCCTGGGTTGGCTCATTTTGCCCCTCCTAAAGCCGCCCCGCCTGCCTGGCATGATATCCACTGTAGCTTTTTTCGTTAGCAGAATCGTACATACATTCTTGGGGTAAAAGATGCGATTCATAGAAGAAGACACTCGAGGTCATGTGTTCAATTCGAACCGAAAAACGTCCAAGTCGATGGCAAAAACTCCAAATTGAATCGGAAAACGTCCAATTTGAAATAGAAACTGCTCAGTATGGTCTGGATGTTGTCCGGTTTACCCTGAAACACTTTGGAGTGCCTGATCGGAAGTGTCAATGAAATGGAAGTGTCAATGAAACATTTATTTGTTCTGAAACTGTCCAAAGCAGGATTTCGCTTCCGGAGCGTCGAAAATTTTGTTCAGGACGTCCTACAACAATTCTTCCCATTCCACGGATTACGATCACTAGCGCCGATTCTGTCACTGTAGAATGGGATGTTCCTGACGACACCGACTCTACAGGTTTCACCGTTGCATATAAATCAGAAGGTTCTCCAGTTTGGACTGAAGTGAGTACGACCTTTTTTCATAGTTTTTGTACAAATCCCTTATGTCGTGAGTCCACCCAATACCTGAGAATACCTGAGAGTTTCTTCGTTTGTGACGGTACTGAGAATAATGGGAGCGAAATTTCAAAACTTTTGAATATTGATGTAGATCGACCCGCCAATAGGATTTGTACCTCTTTCAGAAACTTTCATAATAAAAGGAATTCAAGGTCCACTGCAGCGCCAGCTTCTGCCAGATTGCTGGTTTGAAAGAGGATGTTTCCTATGTATTCAAAGTTGCGCTGCGAAATGAAAGAGGCGTTGGGACCTTCTCTCAGCAGACGGAACCAATCAAAATGACTGGTGAGTGTGGGGAAAAGTTCGCTTTTGACAGTAATCTCTTCAAACAGTCGATGTTCAGCAAATATGGCGCCTGTTGTGATCAAAGGGATACGCGATGTTTCGATAGCCAAAAAACAACCCCTCAGATTGGAATGTCATTCTAGCGGACATCCAACCCCGGAGTTCATCTGGTACAAGGACGGCATCGAAATCGTCCCTGAGAACGAGAACATCGAGGTAAGCTTCACCCTAAATTACGGATTCAGTACGGTATCGGCATAGGGGAGATAGTGATGTCAGACGTCACCTTCCGCGGAAAGCCCAACCTCCGATCATCCCATCTTCGTCGAATTTCTCAACCTCCTACCACCCTATCAGTTTTCCAGAGAACTTCTTCAGTTTCCTCACAAAAAACTGCCATCGACGGGAGTGGGGGGAGGGGTAGAGTGAAGAGGTCACTACCAATCAGCTTCTAACTTGTCCTTCCGAAAGTTCAAATGTGTAGGACCTTGGTGGCGCTGCGGATAGTGAGGCGTGTCAGGGGGATGGCATTGGCACGACGCTGACCCGTTCTCCGCCAATAGTTGAAGAGGGCAAGCGACAGCAATCGGTGAAAAACGCGTTGGCACCGCACTAAGCAACGCACTGGCGCCCCCTCTATCCTGACATGCCCCGCATCCGCAGCGGGCATGCTGTAATACACATAAAACGGGAATACAGCTAAAAATCAACAACCAGGAACAATCCTCTCGCGGCGCAGGAATTCCTTCTCAAGACCAAGCACGACTCCCTCCCGTCAACCACGTACGCCTCCCCCCCCCCTCACCCCTGATGGGAGTCTCGCAAAGATGCTGTACTCGAACAGGTCGGCACAAGGTATATCTACTCTTGAATCTAGAAATGCACAGCTAAGTCAATGTCTACCTACAGAGCCGGAGGTCTCTTTCAGAGCCGGGAAAATGTTTGCAAAAGAAGACCCCTCCTCAAGATTTCAAGAAAGGGGAGAGTTGGTCGTTCTAAAAGGTCAAGACAAAAAGGCTTTTTAAAACGACTATCTCCCTGCCCCCTCCCCCCCCTTCCCCATCCCTCATACCTACCGTCTCTCATAACGTCCCTCAACTTTCTACCACTTTACCGCCTTTACGGAGTTCTCCGGTTTATCCTCCGTAAAGGTACCGTCCCAAAGTCAAACGGTGGGGAAGGAATGGGTATGTATTCAGCACCAGCGAGTCC